ACACTTTCTAGCCACCTGGAAACATTTGATGAAATGTAGGGAGTCCAACGCTGAGTACATATTTCATTTCTTAGCCTCAGTTGTTTATAAAATCATTAAAACTGTTTTGGCGGAGGCCAGTCTGAACCTGTCTATATGATGCAATACTGTTTATTAGTTTGAGATCAATTACAAATTTTACTGCTTATAAAGAATAGTCTAATACTCATCCAAACTGCATTTATTTTCTCAAAAATATAGGAAAAAAATTGCTATTTAAAATATTTGTTTTGTATTTGAATAGATTTTTAAAATGTAGTTTATTTTTGGTATTTAAATCTGAGTTTTCAGCATGGTTGCTGAAGGCAGCATCAGTTGAATGATGTTTCAGCAATCACTTGATTTGAATTGGGAAACATTTAGTATGTAGGACAGCTGCTTCTCAAGATTATTTAATTAGTAAATTATTTGATAAATTATACAGTAAATGTCTTTCTTATAGGGATAGTCAGCCCAAAATGAGATTTTTTGTTTTCATCTAATCTTCTTTGACTTGTTCCAAACCTGTTTGGACTGTTGAGCACAAAGGAAGATATTTGGAAGAATGTTGGAAACAGTTAACCATTAACATGCATAGTAGAAAAACAAATACTATGGAAGTCAATGAGTTTAAATATTTATTTGTACATTTTTTCTTTTGTTTTTAACAAAACAAAAAAAAAAAGAAAATGGTTTGGAACAAGTCAAGGGTAAGTAAATAAAAACAAAAGGTTTAATTTTGGGGTACACTATCCTTTTAAGAAAGACATTTATAATGTATAAATAATATTTAAATGATGAAAGAATTCACATTTTTGGGTTTTTGATCCTTTTAAAGTATTTATTTTTTTAAAGAAAAAAAATTGTACATACACTACAGATAATTTAGCCTACCAAATTCACCTTTACCGCATGTCTTTGGACTGTGGGGGAAACTGGAGCACCCGGAGGAAACCCACGCGAACGCGGGGAGAACATGCAAACTCCACACAGAAACGCCAACTGACCCAGCCAAGGCTCGAACCAGCGACCTTCTTGCTGTGAGGCAACAGCTGTTTCTACCGCGTCGCCAGTAATAATAATAGTAAAAATAATAATAATAATAATAAATCCTGGCTGTTCTCTGACAGCCTTCATCTGTGCTGATTTTGACAGAAGGGGGTTGTTGCTGTAGTTAATAGTGAACTGTGATGTCCCGCACAGCTGCCCAGAAGTTATTTTCATGGCGCTGCAGCGACGTGAAAGAGGATATTTCAGCTTCCCGGAACTGACGCACTGTTTCCATAGTGATTAAAACAAAAACACTGTCCGTTTGAGGCATGAGGCGGTGCGTATGGCATATCCCAACCACATATTCCTACCAGATATTCTCAGAAAAGTGGTAATTGCAGCGGTCATTGAGAAGTATCTGTTCAGCTTTTTTCCAGAAGGCATCAGAGACAATCAGTGCAACTCTAGCCGTCTCACTTTCTCCTATCGGCATCTGTCTGTGTCTATCCCCGTCTTACTCTCCCTCTCGAATCAGACACCATGTTCTTGAAAGGTTAACAGTAAAGCGCTGCTCTTTATTTAGGAGACTCTCTAATAGGAAACTCAAACTCTAAAGCTATATTGAGATATAGGGGTGAATTTATTTGTTCTTTCAAGCTGTTGCATCATGTCACTGTACTGCCAGCAGTGCTTGTAAAGGTTTAGTGCTTAGGGAAATAGAGTTGTGTGCACATAAAAAAGTACTACAGTCATTTAAATTAAATGATGTACTGTTTTTGAATTGTACTGTGGTAAAATATTTGAATGAATCTCTTGTAGCTGCTATGTAAGAACTTTAGTGAGGGATGTGAATTAATCTGAGCTAAAAAATACAATTTAATGGGTAATTTAATTGATAGCATTAATAATACTCGATACAACTACAGTTTTTACGTTACTGTGATGGTTGGGTTTAGGGTTGGGGTGGGAGTAGAGGTTAAAAATACAATTTGTTGGGTAGTTTAATCGATAACATAAATAATACTTAGTACAACTAGTGTTTTTACGTTACTTTGATGGTCGGATTTATCGTTGGCGTAGGGGTAGACGTTAAAAATACAATTTATTGGGTAATTTAATAGATAACAAAAATAATACTTAATACAACTACTGTTTTTTACGTTACTGTGATGGTTGGGTTTATCGTTGGCGTCGCAGTAGACGTTAAAAATATAATTTATTGGGTAATTTAATAGATAACATAATTAATACTTTGTACAACTACTGTTTTTACGTTACTGTGATGGTTGGGTTTAGGGTTGGGGTAGATGTAAAAAAAATGTATTGGGTAATTTTAATATATAGCTTAAATAATACTCGGTACAACTACTGTTTTTACGTTACTGTGATGGTTGGGTTTATCGTTGGCGTAGGGGTAGATGTTAAAAATACATTTTATTGGGTAATTTAATAGATAACATAATTAATACTCAATACAACTACTGTTTTTTACGTTACAGTGATGGTTGGGTTTATCGTTGGCGTAGCAGTAGACGTTAAAAATATAATTTATTGGGTAATTTAATAGATAACATAATTAATACTTTGTACAACTACTGTTTTTATGTTACTGTGATGGTTGGGTTTAGGGTTGGGGTAGATGTAAAAAAAATTTATTGGGTAATTTTAATATATAGCATTAATATTACTCGGTACAACTAGTGTTTTTACGTTACTGTGATGGATGGGTTTATCGTTGGCGTAGGGGTAGATGTTAAAAATACATTTTATTGGGTAATTTAATAGATAACATAATTAATACTTAACACAACTACTGTTTTTTACGTTACTGTGATGGTTTGGTTTATCGTTGGTGTAGGGGTAGATGTTAAAAATACATTTTATTGGGTAATTTAATAGATAACATAATTAATACTTAATACAACTACTGTTTTAACGTTACTGCGATGGTTGGGTTTATCGTTGGCGTCGCAGTAGACGTTAAAATTATAATTTATTGGGTAATTTAATAGATAACATAATTAATACTTTGTACAACTACTGTTTTTACGTTACTGTGATGGTTGGGTTTAGGGTTGGGGTAGATGTAAAAAAAAATTTATTGGGTAATTTTAATATATAGCATTAATATTACTCGGTACAACTACTGTTTTTACGTTACTGTGATGGTTGGGTTTATCGTTGGCGTAGGGGTAGATGTTAAAAATACATTTTATTGGGTAATTTAATAGATAACATAATTAATACTCAATACAACTACTGTTTTTACATTACTGTGATGGTTGGGTTTATGGTTGGGGTGAGGGTAGACGTTAATAAAATACAATTAATGGGAAATTTAATAAATAATATCAATCAACTTCTGGCCGCAACCATATCTGATCTAGCAACATTCATTCATTCATTCATTCATTCATTTTCTTTTTGGCTTAGTTCCTTTATTAAAAGGGCGTCGCCACAGTGGAATGAACTGCCAACTTATCCAGCAAAGGTTTTACGCAGCAGATGCCCTTCCAGCTGCAACCCATCACTGGGAAACACCCATACACTCTCATTCACACATATACACTATGGACAATTTTAGCTTACCCAATTCACAAGTACCGCTTGTCTTTGGACTTGTGGGGGAAACTGGAGCACCCGGAGGAAACTCACGCGAACGCAGAAAGAACATGCAAACTCCACACAGAAATGCCAACTGACCCAGCCGAGGCTCGACCAGCGACCTGCTTGTTGTGAGGCGACAGCACTCACTATTTACTATGCCACCCGATCTAGCAACAGCCATACTGTATTTTTCCCCAACCATGGGGTATATGAAACTACAATACACCACAGTTTACTTTAGTAAAAACTAAAGTATACTACAGTGTAATACAATATAAATAATATAATATAATTAATAAAATAACTGCATTTCATTGCCTTGTACTTAGTATAAGTATAATACAATAAAGTTGAATTTAAGCTAATCTAATTTAATATAATCTAATCTAATACACTCAAAACATGACGTTTGTTTAAACTACTTAATTAAAGTGAGCTGAAACAACACAATTCTTGATTTTTTTTTGGGGGGGGGGTGTTTAATCCACTTAAATTAAAAACTGATAAGTTACTTAAGTTACTAAGTAAACTTAATTCCTTAATAATGTCTTAACACAAATCGATTGTGTGAATCCTTGCATTTTTTACAGTATACAATGGTACAGTATTTACTATACCACTAGTATTTATTCACTGGAGTATTTTAACACCCAAAGGCATAATAAAATATAGATTTGACTGTATAGAAGTGTATCGGACTGTAAAACATTAACCAGATACTCATCAGAGGCGAACGGAAACAGGAGCGTATATTTGAGCTTAACAATGGACATGCTTTCACAGTCCACACTGATTCATCACTAAGCTATCCTTGTTCAAAAAGTTATCTGGTAATTCATTTATCTTCAATCCAAAAGATTTTCCACAAGGAATGTTCTTGGGAACTCATGTGTCTGTAGGGCAGAAGCAGTGTAATGTCACAAGATACGAAGTGTGTAAATCCTTGCTGCCTGAGGTGTGTGTTCATAACTGTATCTTTACCTATTGGATGACATACATAATAGGTGTCTCCTTCGCTGAAACTTATCTTCTCATTGACTAATCTACTTTCTCGTCGTCTTTTGAGATGGTCCAACACACCCCGGGGTGTGTAACATGGGTGGTTCCTTCCTCCTGTACTCACAGTATGCCTCAGTGGCACATAGGTGTGCTGATCAGGCATTTTTAATTCTATTTTTAGCGTTCTATTTTAGTGTCCTGTTCATTGGTAATTTTTTCCAAGTGCTCACTTTAAGCCATTCACAACTGTTAGAGTCTGCCGACCATGCAGTTGGATGCAGTTTCTTCCTTGCGCGAGCAGAGTGGGAGTGGCCCAGTACTCTCTCTTACTCACTCTCTCTCTCTCTCTTTTACACACACACCCCCTCTCATTGCCAGTCCGGACTATGCTCACTTTCAAGGAAGGCTGAGTAAAGGAGAGAACAGTTTTCCTTCTCTCAGTTTTTCCCTTTGCTTTTGAGAAGTTCTGAAAAGAAAGAAGAAATCCTTTTGAGGAATAGAGAAATTAGCCAAACTACACGGACCTACAAGAAAGAGTAGGTTGTGTTTATTTTTAGCGTCTTTTTTGATTGAATCTGCAGCACGTGGCAGCAGGCTCTGCCACAGGACCCTGGAGAGTGAGGTCATTCAGTGATTCGTTCTTCATTGGCATAGCTGTTCCTGTTTATTCAGACACTAAGCAAGCACAATGGTTGCTGGAATGGTTATGCCTCTTGACAATCTGAGGGCCATCTACGAGCATCTGTTTCGGGATGGCGTCATGGTGGCCAAGAAAGACAAGCGGCCTCAGACCAAACACCCTGAGATTGCTGGTGTGCAGAATCTGCAGGTGATCAGAGCCATGGGGTCTCTAAAATCTAGGGGATATGTGACGGAGACCTTTGCGTGGAGGCATTTCTACTGGTATCTTACTAACGAAGGGATCGTCTACTTGCGCGATTACCTGCATTTACCTGCGGAGATTGTGCCTACTCCGCTACAAAGAGTGCGCCGACCTGTTGCAACTCTGGCCGTCACTCGAAGAGCAGAACGGGTTCAAACTATTGAGGGTCCAACTTCCTATGTTCCCAAACCCGGCAAGATGGGTGCGGAAAAACAAGACCGTCAGGGATACCGTCGCAAGACTGCGAGCACAGATGAAGCTGAGGTGATTGAATCCAATGAGAGAACTCCACAATTCAGAGGTCGTCCGATGGCTAGCGCTCAGATCAAACCCAAAGGATCATGGGAATCCAAAGAGCTGCCCATACGTTCTGATAATCGTGATTACACCAAAGAGATGGAGCCGAGTGCTAGGAGGAAGGTTGCAATGCATTCATTTTCCCATGAGACTCACCATGCTAAGCCAGTCGAACAAGAAAGGATGGTGGAATGCACCAAGACTGCATTCATTCAGGATATGCCAAAGGCGAGTCCAGGTGTGCTGACCATTTCTTCAGCTGCCGTAGAATCCCCTCTGGTTCCTGTCCATAGTGAAGCAATCAAAGAAAAACCCAAAGTAGATGTCTCTCGTCAATCTACATCCATAACAACTGCAAAGGAAGCTCATCATCCTACCCCATCAAAACTGAAGGTGGAAAAAACAGAGAAAGCCCTTGTGTCGAGAAAAATGGACCATGTGCCAAATGTGGCATCAGCAGAGGAAACAATTGCCTTGGAGTCCTTTGTCCATGCTCAAGAAAATCCCAAGGAAGAAGAGTTTACAAAGGTCACCAAGCAAACCACATCCACTACAACAGGTGCTCTTAGAGCTACTCCTTCAAAACCAAAGGTGGATAAAACACAGGAAACGATGGTGGCCAAAAATGAGCTTGATGTTTCAAATGAATCCTCTAAGCCTCCTGTTTCCATTGAAGCAGCAAAAACAAAGCCAAAACAAGATGTTTGTATTAAGGTGTCTGAGAAAACCACTGTTGTAAATGCTAGCAAAATGGCTGAAGGTGATGCTCATCTTACTTCCTCAGGACCGAAAGTAGACAAATCCAATAATGTGCCAGCTGTTTCAGCAGCACTGGAGATTTCTGCTTTTAAATCCTCAGTGTCTTCAGTTTCTACCGAAGCAATTAAAGAAATACCAAAGGAAGAATCATGTGTTTCCAAGGAAATCACATCCAAAGGGGACAGTAATGCTGCTTCTCATCATAGTCAGTTGAAAACAAAAGGGGAGAAAAGACAGAAAGCCACCAAAACCAAAAGCGTGCAGGATAGCACATGTGTTCCTCCAGCAGAAGAGATGTCTGTTGTGAAACCCTCTGGGTCTGAAGCAGTCAAAGAAAAGACTGAGGAAGAAGTGTGTGTTAAATTATCACAGCAATCTGCACTCAAAGGTGAGGGCGGAATAGAAAAAGATGCTCCTCATCCTACTGTCTCAAGCCCACAAGTTGAAAAAGCACAGAAAACTCGAAAGAACAAAAAAGTGCAGGATTTACCTATGTTTTCATCCACAGTGCAGTCCTCAGAAAAAGCAGAAAAGCCCAAAGATGATGAATCTACAAAAGTCACTAAGGAAATCACTTTGCCAGTAACTGATGAGAGCAAAATGGCTATTGATGCTCCTCATCCTACACATGTGGAGAAAACAGTGAAAACCATTGTGACCAAAAATGTGCAGGATGGCACCTCTTTGAAATCCCCAGTGTGTTCAGTTCCTGCTGAAACAGCCAATGAAAAGTCTAATAAAGAAGTTTGTGGTATTGTTTCTCAGGAAACCTCATCCAAAGATGATAACAAAACTGCCTTTTCTGCTCCATCAAAGTCAAAAGTGGGCAAAACGGCTACAAGGATAAAAAATGTGCAGGATAAACCAGCTATTTCATCAGCTGTGGAGACGACTGTAGTGGCATCCTCCACTTTTTCTCTCTCTACTGAAACAATCAAAGAACAGTACAAGGAGAAAGTGTGTGTTATTGCTTCTCAGGAAACCCCATTCAAAGGTGACAAGAAAAATTATGCTTTTCATTCCGCTACATCAACACAAAAAATGGAAAAAATGCAGACGACTAAAACTGCACAGACTAAACCAGCTGTTTCATCAGCGGAGGAGATGATGGAAGTGAAATCATCAATGTCTACTGAAGCAGTCAATGAAAAGTCCAAGAGAGAAGTGGGTGGTATTGTGACTCAGGAAACCACATCCAACGGTGATAACAAAAAGGATGCTCTTCATCCTGCTGTCTCAAAATCAAAAGTTGTGAAAATACTTGAGAGCAAAAATGCGCATGATAGCACAGTTGTTTCATCATGGATGGAGGCTGAAGTCAAGTCCACTTTGATTTCCACTGATGCAGAAAAGCCCAAGGAAGAAGTCTGCCTTATGGTTTCTCAGGAAACCACATTAACAGGTGGTAGCACAGAGGATGCTCCGTCAAAACTAAAAGCGGAGAAAACAAAGAAAACCAAAAAGGCTAAAAAAGTGCAGGATGTACCAATGATTTCATCAACAGAGGCTGCAACAGCAGCGGAGTCCTCTGTAATCTCTGTCCCTGCTGAAAAGCCCGAAGAGGATGCATTAAGAAAGGTTCCTCAGGAAGCCACTTTCACAGCAACTGATGAGAGCAAAATCGACTTTACTCCATCAAAACCAGGAGGACCTAAAGGGACCAAAAGGACTAAAAATGTTCAAGAGCTAACAGTCAAGCTTGAAAAAGAGCAGGTGCCTGCTGTTCAAGCAGAAGAAGTGAAATCTAACATATTCGTTACACCCCAAACGCCATCAGGAATGCCAAAGAAGGAAGAAAATGTGGCTGGAGAAACCGCTAAAAAGAAAGCAGAGCTTAATCTGAAGAAGGGTGTCACTGTTACATCAGCGCAGGCCCAAGCAAACACCACTGTTCAGGTGACTGACAAACAACATGATTCCCAAACATCACAGGGAGTCATAGAAGATGACAGCACAAGTTATTTAAAAGTTCACAAAGAGGTGGCGATCCCTTGTGCCATTTCTATCTCAGAGGTCAAGGCAGAGGTTAAAGGCCACAAGCCCGTCCTTAGCCCTAAATTTCAGCCTACAGTTGCTGAGGAAGAAATGACTACAGCAGACTCCAGCAAAGCTTCAGAAATATCTACGAAAGCAGAATCTAAAGTAGACACACCAAAATCACATCAAGAAAAAGCATCAACGCTGACGGAGGAACCCAAAACTCCAAAAGACAAGGATGCTGAAGAAACGTCAAAGCCTTCAAAGGGGAAGAAGAAAAAGAAAACAAGCAAAACTTCTGCTGTAAAAGAGATCCCTTCACTCGCAGAGACTGAAGTAGTAACACCAGCTCAGGTTGACCCGAGCAAGGCTGAAGACCACAGGCAGGTTGCAACAAGTAATAATTCTGCAAAGACATCCCCTGAAGGAATGCATGCTCCGGAGAACAGGCAGCCAACAGCTGTACAGAGCGAAGCCCCGGCTCACAAAGGGGAGGTGGAGCCAGCGCAGCCTGTAACAGAAAAACGAGAGGTTCAGAAAGGAAAAACATCCTCCTCGCGGAGACAGTGGGAAGCACCGGCAGCTTCAGCGTCAGCAGCACCAGCGGGACTAGCAGCCCAGCACACCCCCCTCCCCGCACAGGGGGATCCTCCCAGCATTGCACAACACACTGACACACAGCGGAGCACACACAAGCACTGCAAGCTCTCACATAGCAAGGCCCCTGCTGGCCCTGTTGACGAGAAAACCGGTGACGGTCAAGCACAGACCACAGACGACGCCATGCGGAAGAAGATCGTTGTGGTGGAGGAAGTGATTGAGGTGCAGCAGGTTGTCAGTCCTGTTGCCGGTCAGCCTACTACGTCCCCAGTGCCTAAAGTTGCAGGAGATGATCTGGACTATGATGTGCTGGAGGAACTGGCCATAGAGCGCGGTCTTCTAGAGGGCGAAGAGACCTTTTGGGATCATTCGCTACAAGAGCCGGAGGAAAAAACTTTCCCCAACTTCGTAGAAGGTATGAATCATTTTCAGATCTAGTCGTTGCACTTTAGTTTAAGGTGTCCTTGCCTTACAGTATGAATTTGAAGGGAATGTTTAACCAAACCTGACAATTCTCTCATCATTTACTCACTTGTTTCAAACCTGTTTGACTTTCTTTGATCTGTTAAACACTTATATCTCAAAGATGGACCTGTAAACATTGACTTCCAGTGGTTACAGGTTTTTAAGCTTCCCTCAATATGTCTTCTTTAGTGTTCAACAGAGGAAAGAAAGTCTTAAATGTTTGAAACCAACTGAGGGTGAGTAAATAGGGAGTAATCGATACTTTTTAGCTGAGATATATCTTACTTATTACCTACAGGTACTTGTTATATAAGGTTAGGGTCAGGACGAGGGCTAGGTTTAGGGTTAGTTGCATGCAGATATGTGTGATTTATTGTTACTGCCATAGCAAGTACATACAACATGTGCTTGTTTTTTTTTCTGGTGTTCTTTGATGCTCCGGTTTCCATCCGTATTTGCTGTGTGGGAGGTTCAAGGTGACTGCTGAGGTGTCAGGATAGCTGTGCTTTGTAACTTTATATGCATGTCATTAGAGTGAATAGTGAATGAGCTTATGCATCTTTGCAGTATTATTTAATGAAGGCATTTGTTTTCTTCTTTTAGTAGCTGTATCTATTCAGTCAGCTTAGTTTATCAGTGCTTCTTCACACATGCACAACTCTTTGCTTCTAGTTATTTCGAGAAATGAATCTCTCACAGGGATTCACATCATATCCACACCCAAAACATTAAAAATATGCGTGCAATGTTTCGCAGCCACCCTCTTTTTTGCTCTGCAACATATTGGGACTAGCTAGTGATTTTGTTTCATTCTTCAAGGGGAATACCAGACGGCTGGTAATGAGCAGTGTGTTTCTGACAATGCTATAATGTTTGGAGTCAGCTCTCCCCACCCAAACACAAACCAGTGCTTTAGCTTTTCTTTTCGTGGAGTAGAAAAGGAGACATGAAACTATAGCTCTGCTTAGAGAACCCCGTGTGCCACTCTTTCAGGAAGCACGTGTGTTTGGTTATTTCCTATGGTTTGTTCTGTCCTGTCTCTGGTTTCCAGTGGTCAACTATTAGCTCGGGACTTCTGCTTTATCGCTTTTTCATTGTGTAATGGAGCTTGCCACACATACAGCTGTCCATCCCAAATCCCACCTTTGTCTTTATCCATTAGTGCAACAGAGATGTGTGGAATGTGGGGTTGCAGTTGCTTTTGTCATAGATTTTATGGCTTTTAGCATTTATACTGTTGTAAAGGCATTTCACATCTATTTAGATTGACTAATTAAAAATAAAAATTAAAATAGACATTAGGTCAGTTAGTGTTTGGTAACACTCGTTTTGAAGATGCAGCTATTTCTAATCTTTTACCTCAATAAACTCTGAATCTGGTCCGTTTTAATACCTATCAAGGTAGTAGTTACATAGTGAAATGTAAATAAACAGTTTGTTTTTTTATTTTGTTTATTTATCTATGTATGCATGTATGTGTGTATTTATTTATTGATTTATGAGTGTGTGCATGTATTTATTTATTTATATATTTATTTATTCATTTATTTATCTATTTATTTATTTATTTATTTATTTATGTGTGCGTGTTTGTATGTATGTATGTATGTATGTATGTATTTATTTATTTATGAGTGTATTTATTTATTTATTTATTTCTGTGTGTATGCATGTATGTATTTATTTATTTATTTATTAATGAGTGTATTTATTTATTTATTTTTGTGTGTATGCATGTATGTATTTATTTATGTGTGCGTGTTTGTGTGTATGTATGTATTTATTTATTTATTTATGTATGTATGTGTGTACGCATGTATGTATGTATGTATTTGTTTATTTATTTATTTGTTTGTTTATTTATTTATTTATTTATTTTGGCAGTTAGTTAGTTAGTTATTAAGTTAGTTAGTTAGTTAGTTATTAAGTTAGTTTGTTATGCTTTTGAATTGCATTATGGGACTTGATCTTTCCTTCTAAAAATTTTAATGTTGAAAAGTTGGAACATGTGACTTTTATTGACGTTTTTAATAGTTTAAAGTGTTATATTGTCTTGGTTGCCAGTTGTTTTATGGACTTAATTCTCTATAGTTTCTTAAACAATAAATTGTTTCGAATTAAAATGTCAATAAAAGTCTGCAGAGTTGAATTTTTAACATTTAAAAAGTCATCAGAGAAACAGATCAACATCCCATATTACAATTCATAACTGTATTCAAATCTGTGAAACATGGATCCTATGAATCCTATCAATTAAATTATTATTATTATTATTTTTTTTTTTACACTTTTAAGCTCAGGTATTGGGTAGGATTATGCAACATTTTAAAATATTCCAAAAATGGCCATTTACATATATATATATATATATATATATATATATATATATATATAAACATTTTCAAGCATTAGAATTACAATGAAGATATACACACATGCACACATAAATACACACTTTATTAAGTACACCTTATTAGTTCCACATTGGACTCCTTTTGCCTGCAGAACTGCCTTAATTCTTCGTGGCATAGATTCATTTTGGTCCATATTGACATGATAGCATTACACAGTTGCTGCAGATTTGTCAGCTGCACATCCATGATGTGAATCTCCCGTTCCAAAACATCCCAAAGGTGCTCTATTGACTTGAGTTCTGGTGACTGTGGAGGCCATTTGAGTACAGTGAACTCATTGTCATGTTCAAGAAACCAGTAATTGTTTATTGCTCTGTAAATATAAAATGAAACAGGACACATCCTAACTGGAAGTGCCTAAAAGTAGCATTCTTTTTCCACAAATATGATAACAAATGGCAAAATATATTAGCTAGAATTTTATATGTTTAGCCATATATCAGATTTCCATAAGGAGTATTGCTCTTTATCTTAGAAAAACATTTTGCGCCTTTATTACACTAAGAAATATTTATATATATATATGTATATGTGTGTGTGTATGTATGTGTATACATATATATATATATATATATATATATATATATATATATATATATATATATATATATATATATATATATATACACGCACATAATTATTTATACTCATATAGTTATATATAAGTGGATTTACGTACACAGTATAATAAATGCAGGCAAAGTTTCTTTAGTTTCTAGCTGTGTAGAATGAGATGATGCAGAATATGTGCTTTATAAGTACTAAAAAACAGCTCAAATATTAAAAATAGACACTAATAAGTAATAAGACACTAGCCGATAGTGAGAATTGGTGCTTAAACTAAAGTGTTGTCTTTGTGTATCATGCAACAGTCAGATATTTTGTTATTCATGTTTTTATTTTTTATTTTTTCATGTTTATTTATGCTTTTGAATTGCATTATGAGACCTTAATCTATTGTCCAACCACTTTTAACCTTAAAAAGTAAAAAAAAAAGAAACTTTTATTAAAATTTTAATAGTTTAAAATTATATAATGTTTGTGTTGGTGTTGTATATTAGTCTGCAAAAAGCTTGTAATAAACTGCAAGCACAATTTCTTATTTAAATATATTAGTTTCTATGTGTGTAGAATATGATCATGCAGAATATGTGCTTTAAAAGTACTAACAAACAGCACAAACCTTAAAAATAGCCAAGTAATGAGCCACTAGTTGATATTGAGAATTGGTGCTTAAACTAAAGTATTGTCTTTATTGTGAATCCTGCAATATTCTGATATTTGTAGTTAGGTGAATTAAGGTCAGTGCTTTTAGGAAATGATAGGAAGCAGTTAAAGTTTGCACAATCTAATGGGTGTGTTTAGTAGGTGTATCACAGAAGCAAGATCCAAAACAATTAGCCTTTTGTTTGAAGGTTTTTGTTAGTCACTTCATAATGACGGGCCTTTTGGGAAGCCTGTATCCCACACAAAAAGAATTTATACAATATTATACCAGGCTAACTCGAATCAGATGTGCTTGAGGTTGCATGTGTGTAATTTTCTGCTGCCCCCTACTGTAAAGATCCGCAAATGTCTCTGTATAACCTTCAGATGAAGACTTTTTAATAGGAACTCAACCAGGTGTAATTTTAGCTTGGAGCTCAGACAGAACTGATTGATTCTTCTTCTGTAGTGATCCAGAAACTATCGTTTATCTTTTAGCAACCACTGGATGTGTTTGAACATAAGTTTGAGATCTCCATTAGCGTTGTGCTCCGTTTCAGCAGTAATGTATTGTGAAAGTATGTGCGTGTCCGCCTCCACCATAAATTCCAGCATGTTTGTGATGTTGTGACAGGCGCTTGTGTGATCTTCTCAGTGCCACATGATTGTGGTGCGGTCCGTGAGTCATGCAGAGAATTCAGACCAGCCAAATTAATCTGACCTTTAAGAAGTCTAATCGGACACATTCTGTCAGTGTCTGGGGTTTTGTGATATCTAGAGCTGGCCTTCAGCTCTTATCAAGAGACTTTTTTTGTGGTGACATGTCTAAATTTAGTGAATATGTCTTAGATTAGTGTTTATGTAAAACATTTAGTATAGAATTGTCAAATTAAATTACATTTTTGGATTGTTTTTGCTTGTTTGTTGCGTTTGCTTAGCTCCTGTATCACACAATATAAGAATTATTCTGTATGCGTAATAGAAAATAATATTGGCTGGTTAAAATCACTGCTGAAGGATCCACACATTCTTATTAACCTTGATTATACTTCAGAAATATTCATAAATTGGCAGTTTTACATATTTTGAGATACATTTTTTTACTTTCCCCCATTTATTTATGCTTGTAAATTGCATTATTTAAGCTTGATCTTTCTTCCAAAAACTTTTAACCTTTAAAAGTTTTAAAAAGTGACTTTTGTGAACATTTTTAATAGTTGAAAGTGACATGCTGTCTGGGTTGGTGCTACAAAAGCCCTGCCAGTGCATTTTCTGTTATTTTACAGACTTATTTCTCTATATATTATCTCTTATACATCAAATGATCTCA